TATATAAAAAAACGAAATCAAATCTTGTCATCTTGTAGATCCAGGTCCAGAGAGCATCGCAGACATCGGTCTCGCTCCATGTCACGGGAGCGCAAGAGGAGAACTCGATCCAAATCTCGGGAGAAGCGCCATCGCCACAGGTCTCGCTCCAGCAGCCGCAGTCGCAGCCGTAGCCACCAGAGAAGTCGGCACAGTTCTAGAGATAGGAGCAGAGAACGATCCAAGAGGAGGTATTGATGTGTCGATCAGAGGATGTAGAGCTACCTTTATGTTTTACAGTTGTTTGTTTACTTGTTACTTATGTTTAGAGCTTAGATTCTTGGTTTAAAATTTGCATCTGGTAATATGTACACATTTGTGTGAGTGCAAACACTTTTTTCCATGATTATATGGGTTCTGAAAAAATATACTTATGAGCAAAAGCAAGAAATTGGAACTGATATGTGCAGAGGTTATTGCTTGTCTTGGAAAAAAGTTCTTTATAGGCAAATAATTTTAGGTACCAATACTCTTACAGTTTTTTCCATATGTAGTAGCAAATTAGGGGCTCTGAGGAGTCCTTTCATTAATATTGTTTTCAAGATGTATTTGAACTGGTATACTTTTTCAGAGTAGACACATTCTAGTATATTCTTATTTAATCTGCACTGTAGATATGCATTGTTATATACCTTTAGCTTGGCAGGGCAGATTCAGAATCTTACGGAAGCTACAAGACTTCCTTGGTATAATGAGAAAACTCAAAAGGGGCAGACACAGAGTAAGGTATGTTTAAGGACCTGAATCTCTATTGAGAACGGACAAAGGATTAGAATTTGGTAGAGGAGTTTAGCACTCATTGTCTATATAGACCAAGCTCCCAAAATTTCTCAGGTCACATGATGGCCCTTAAACCAGGTAATTTCTATGTAATAAACCATGCTTAAAATGGCTTTTGTCTTGACAGCTAAAGCATAAACATTTTTTGAGTATGTAGTACATAGTAGTCTTACATTTTCTGTGGACTGTTATACATAAAGTCCATAATAGAATCCACAGAAAGCTGTTAAAATCTTTATTTATTTTGACTCTCAACTAGCCAGTCCCTGAAGTCATTTACAAGCTGAGTTTATTAACAGGATCTTAGTGTTTTGTTTATTTCTTACATTCTGGCCTTGTTCTAAGTAGTCCTTAAGATGTCTTTAATCAATTAAAATTATATACTTTTTACTGTACTAACAGTCAATAATAACATAGTTGAACAACTTTATTCAAGTTGCTCTATGAAGTTCACTATGAGTTAGAACGCAGGACCAACATCTTTGACAATAATGAGACTGGTATAAAACAACATAAAAGTACTAAACTGTATGTCATAGAATAAATGATCTAAGAGTTTAGATGAGGGAAATACCACAGTAATCAAAAATGGCATCAGGTAGTTGATGGAACTTGAATAAAGTCAGTAAATTTGAACAGGTAGAATCAGGCGGGAAAAAGATTCCACGTAGAGTGACTATCATAGGCAAATGCAGAGAATGATCAGGGAATTTGTAAGGGATAGTGAGTTGTAGGCCACTGGTCGCATACTCTTGAAACTGAATTTTTGGGGCTACCCTTAATGCAGTGTTCAGAAATAGGCATTTTTTAAAAGTTCTCTGCCTGCACACTAAATTTTGAGAGTCATCCTGCTAGGTATTGGAAGGTCTAGATAATTTCTTGTGTTGATCTGCCCAAGTGTCATTGTTTCTGGTGTTGGTGAACTCAAATGTCCTTATTGGTGGTGGAATGGGCATGAAGTCCCCTTGTCTGAGACTGTGTTATCTTAGTCCCTGGTGCTTCCTGTACTTACGAAGTTGTATGGGAAATTTTTCCACCGTACTACATGACACCCCTCACATTTAAGATTTCAGCATGTTCATAAAGAGGATTATTTTTGTAAAACTATTAAAAGTGTTACTTTTCTCAAGATCACTTTTCATCTTTGAATTCAAATTATTCTCTTTTAAAGCATCATTGTTTTTACCAAAAATTAGCAGATAATTGCTATTAAAACTACGTGTGATTACATGAGATGACAAGTTATTGCTATGTGTTTAACTTTTCCAGGTAAAAATTCCAAAAATTCCTTTTATGTTTTGCTCCTCTCCTTAGCCTACTGTGAAATATTGGACATAAGTAGACTGTCTTTTTGTGACTTTTTCCTGGCAGCAATTACCATGGTAAACAAGGACCACTTGCAGCTTTCTGTTCTATTCAGACATGTATAGTGCAGACTTCAGAGTCAGACTACGTGGGTTCAGTGGCCTTGGCCAAGTAACTTAATTTCCTACCTGTCTCCCATCTATTAAGTAGAGATAGTAAAAGTACCTGCTTTATTAGGATTATTGGTAGTTTGAGTAACATAGTATATGGAAACTGCTTATAAGTGGGACATTGTAATCTCTTAACAAAACATTAGTTGATTCTCATCTCATAGTTGTATTTCAGTTACTGTTACTGACCTCTGGGACCCTTATTCTCAGGTATCATTTATCCTGCAAAGGCTATGGATAGGGCTGGTGTAGACTTGCACAGCTGGACTCACATTGTGAATTTTTTTTTTAACACATTTTTTTTAAGTTTATTAAAACCTTCAGTAAAATGCTCAAAGTTGACATTTAATGTTATAGACTTTTTTGTTTTACCCTCAACTATATTTCTAAAACTAAGTATAGTAGTAGTTTAATTTTTTTCCTAACTGTATTATTCATATTTTTGGCAGTACCTCAGATCCTAATTCTGAACATGGGTTAAGTGAGATATGTAAAAGTACTATGTCACCGGTAAAGAACCAAATGAATGTTACTGATTCATTCTAGCTGTTGAAAGTGTAGAAGATTCCATATTTATTCTGATCCCATAATATCCTTTGGTTTTCCTTCTGATTTAATCTCTGATATGAGCTTTTTTGGTTATTATTTACCTTTCTGATTGAAGTTAGGAATGGAGAAGGTAGTAACAACTTAATAGTTATGGTTAATCGAGATTTAGTGCAGTGAGCATCTTTACATGTCTTTTATTCTGTTTTTGTGTTGGTTGAGTGAGCTAATTCAGGAGGAATAAAGCAGATTTTTGAAATAATAAAGTTATTTAAGCCATATTATTGAGTAGTTCTATTGTCTTAGTCGGGTGTTGGCAAACTGTTGCCTACAGGCCACATCTGGCCCATAGTTTGTTTTTATACAGTCAAGCAAGCCGTAGATGGTTTTTATGTTCTTAAAGTGTTGATAAAAAGGAAAGTACACTATTAGAGAGATTGTGTGTGACCGCAGCTCCTCAGATACACTGTCTGGCCAGACAGCAAACAGAAAAGTATTGCTGACCTCTGTTCTATTGTAAGTCATTGATTTCCCTCCAGTTTGGAATCTATTCTATTTTTTAAAAATTTGATAATACCTTTCACTTTTTAAAACTGTTTATCTATAGATTTTATATTACATACCCTTTTTATGGATTGGAGCTTTGTGGTTGTCTTTGAGACAACGAGAGTCATTATTTTGCCTTATGCTTTTTGACCCTCAGCTATTTGTTTTCACCCATCTTTGAGTTCCTTATCAATTCAGGTCATGCTCTATTCTCTGTGAAAACTAACTCCTCTTTCTTGGGTATATTCTTCTATATATCTTCAGCTGTCAATATCTTAACATTTATCCTATTCTTTCATTTGGGTTTTTGGGTTTCCCAACATATTTTGCTCCTCAAATTAATATTTTTCAGATCCTCAAAAGAAAGATTCAGAGACCAAGACTTAGCATCACGTGACAGAGACAGGAGTTCAAGAGACAGATCACCTCGTGACAGAGATCGAAAAGATAAGAAGCGGTCCTATGAGAGTGCTAATGGCAGATCAGAAGACAGGCGGAGCTCTGAAGAGCGCGAAGCAGGGGAGATCTAACTAGCAGTGTACATATTTTCAATCCTAAGCTTCCCATGGAGTTACATACATTGTTTAGTTTACAGCTGTTCAGGTTGACAGTGAGCAGATCCAGACACCGATCCAGTTAGGCTAGATGGACAGTATCTAACTTGATCTGAACTGAACCTGTTTTCCTTGATGAAGCCTAAAACTACATCCATAGTTTCTGATGAACCTGTAACACAATTCTGAAAGTACCGTTTTATATAATAAGACACTGATCTCTTTATTCTTTCAAGTAGGAGTAATAGTAAACCAATTGTGTTACTTGCCTTGGGATTTTTTTGAACATTTGTAAAATGCTGTCTTCCTTTCTAATCTAAACAGCAGCAGCTTTGGGAATTGTTCTTTTTAATTTTTCTTCCTCTGACTTTTGTATCCCATAATACCTGCACCCTCCAATCGTAAGAGAAAAGGGGACAGGGAAGCAATATAGCTTCTGTTCTAGGTAAGGTTCTATTCCCATTATTAACTTGCTGATTACAGTTCAGAGCATTTATACTGGAATGTGTGCTGGAGAAATTTATAATATTGGGGTTTTGTGTTTGTTTAACGGTGCCTATTTAGAGTTGGAAGTTGAACAGCTGTTGTATTACATACTTTTGCTTTTTTATTGAAATTTTGAAATCAAACTTGTCTTGATTTTTCTGTTCTATTGAATTGCGATGTTCTGTCGGGGGTGGGGGCAGGGACTTTTTCGTAATAAGCACTTGTTTTATTTTGTGTGTGTGGAGTATAAAGGCTACACCCTTATTGTAAAAAATAATAATAAAATGAAAGAAACAATCACCACCATTATTAAACTAACTCGTCTAGTACATTGTCACTAGAACTGTTTGCTGTGGGCATTTCCTCAGTTCTGTTACATCATTAACAGTGCCTTACTGTGCAAGGCACTAAAGGAAATAAATATGTACTTGCAGAGATTCCAGATGAACTGTTGTTCCACACGGTCTGCTTGCTGAATGTATTCCAGCCACTACAGGGTTGTCTGTAACAAGCACTATAGAGAAGGACTGGACCTGCAGAAGAAATTGGGGTATTTTTGTTTATTTTTCTTCTCATTCAACAAACCTAAATAAAAACAGTGTACATGTAACCAACATAATGAGACTAAGTTTCTGCATTGAAGAGCTGTATACCCACTAGTGACTTAAACTATAGTTGGCAGGTATCACATGTGATTCTAGAAAATGAGGAACAAAAATGCATTAAGTCATGAAATTAGTATCTATGAGTATAGTTAACTAAGATCACCTTTCAAGAATTATTCATGTCTTTGTGCCCCAAGTTTGACAGATTCCATGTGAAACAGGTGGCCTCTGGATGTGCGAGAAAAAACACAGAGACTAAGACTGTTCCAGTGAGAATCAGATTTACATCGAAAAAAGACATGCATCAAGTCCCCAGTGTACCAACCTATGTGGCATTAACTGAAGGTTTGCTGCCGTATTTGGTTCCACGCATTCAATTTATATGGAGTTTAATTTTAGAGACCCATCTGCATAAATGGCCCATTTCCCTTTTAGTTTTGTGTGCTGAGGAATTGTTTTGTATCTGCTTCATTCCTGGTAGTCTGTGCTGTTAATCCTTACAAGCACTGGGGATTTAGTACCTGGGGGTGTGGAGTAAGATTAAAAGGGTTAGCTGGCAGGTGCAAGGAAGGATGTCTGGGACCTTCCCCAGTATAGTTAGTGGCATAGCTGGAGTTAGACATCAAACTCTAAAACATACTTTAAAAATATGTTTCATTACATTTGTATAATTAGAATTGAATATATAGGTATTCATGTCTTTATTATCAGCTGATACCACAGTTGTGATTTCAAGGTGTTCTATCTAGGCTATATAGATAGAAGGGGGCAGCAATAGCCCTGTTAGGGCAGTGACAGCCAGTGATTGCCAGTGGAGCACACCATCATCGGGGCTGTGCACTATGGCGGGTCACTTCAAGTGCATGGTGCTTCACATGAGTGATCCCATTTTTAAAAATCCTTTTAAAACAAATCCATTGCTTGGACACTTCTTGTATTTGGACTTTCTGATGAGCAGTCTACATTTTATTTATTTATTTATTTTTTTTTTTGAGACAGAGTCTCACTCATGCCCAGGCTAGAGTGCCGTGGCGTCAGCCTAGCTCACAGTAACCTCAGACTCCTGGGCTCAAGCGATCCTTCTGCCTCAGCCTCCCAAGTAGCTGGGACTACAGGCGTGCACCACCATGCCCAGCTAATTTTTTTATATACATATTTTTAGTTGTCCAGATCATTTCTTTCTATTTTTTAGTAGAGACAGGGGTCTCGCTCTTGCTAAGGCTGGTCTCGAACTCCTGACCTTGAGCGATCCACCCGCCTCGGCCTCCCAGAGTGCTAGGATTACAGGCGTGAGCGACCGCCTGCGCCACGCCAGCAGTCTACATTTTAAATAATCATCCTTGAACAGGCCAGACACTCTGAATTAGAAAAACCCTAAAATCTCAGTCTCGATTTCTCATACACAATTTTTTTTTTTTCTTCCCCAAGACTGAGTCTCACTTTGTTGCTCTGGGTAGAATTCCGTGGCATCAGCCTAGCTCACAGCAACCTCAAACTCCTGGGCTCAAGCGATCCTCCTGCCTCAGCCTCCCGAGTAGCTGGGACTACAGGCACGCGCCATGATGCCTGGCTAATTTTTCTGTTTTTAGTGGAGATGGGGTGTCTCTCTTGCTCATACTGGTTTCGAACTCCTGACCTCAAGCGATCGTTCCTCCTCAGCATCCCAGAGTGCTAGGACTACAGGAGTGAGCCACCTCACCTGACCCAAACATAATTTTTGGTACTTTTCTTTGTTAGCTGGTGACTGAAGTAGAAAGGATAACTAAGTATAGTCATATTTGCAAAAATATTTGACCCTCTGGGGATGTCTCACTGAGTGTTTTTACCTTCAGTAAGGCCTCTTTCATTTTGCCGTCATCGAGCAGTCCCCCAAAGCTCCCTTTGCTGAGCTATGTCAGCAGCATCAACTGAAATTGAGGGAGAAAGCCTCCATGTTTAAGTAGACTTGTTAAGACTTTCTTACCTCTGATTATAAGGCCTAAAACCAAGGTTAATTTATCTTTTCCAAGTTCCATTTTGATTCTATTTTAGTATGTTAATAATAGCTATCAACATTGGCCTTTTGAGCCACAGATAAGCATCCATTCATTACAATTTCCACAAACATTTTTACCATTTGATGTGGTAATAAATTCTCAGCTGGGAATGCTGGTTCACCTCTATAATCCCAGCACTTTGTGAGGTCGAGGTGGGAGGATCATTTGAGGCCTGGAGTTTGAGACAAGCCTGGGCAACATAGTAAGACCCACATCTCTACAAAAAATTTTTAAAAATTATTAATAACTAGGCATGTTGGTACGAGCCTGTAGTCCCAACTACCCAGGAGCCTGAGGCAGGAGGATCATTTGAGCCCAGGAGTTCAAGGCTGCAGTGATCTGTGATTGCGCCACGGCACTCTGCCCTGGGTGTTACAGCAAGACCATGTGTCTAAAAAATTTTTCTAAAAAATTACCTTTTAAAATGGTTTTCAGGTAATGGTCATCTACATGTTATATGTTTTTTCAGATAAATGCTGGTGATAATTACTAAAATGTGTATAGGTTTTTAACTTTAAAAATCCAAGTAAATACTACATAGTTAAAAAAAAATACACATATCTAAGGTACACATATTCAGCTGCTAACGGCTATACCAGGTCAAACCATCGAAACGTGTCCCTTCACCTGGTAGCTAGCTGCTGCCCTGAGCTTCTTAAGAGCCTTCCCCCAACCCAAGGCCATCCTCCCATCCCTCAAGTTTGATGTCTGGCACAGCCAAGAACCTCCAGAACTTAGTTTGCCACAACATGCTATACTGACTTAAGCATTTTGAAAAGCATCTTTTGTTTTTTTGTTGTTGTTTTTAGCATGAAAAAGCAAAGCAGTTTACATCGTGATTTTATTATACCTTGACTGTTAATAATTAAAATTTCCTAGGATATAAATAAGGCAATTTAAAGTTGCCCTTTCTCAATATTTTTCTTTTCACTGCCTTTTCTTATTTGAAAAAATAGTCCCTGCCTCAGTGGAGTCAGGAAAGGCTGAAGAGGGCTGAGAACATGGTTTCATTGGCAAAGGCTGACCAAAGGGACCAGCTAGGGGTCTGCCGGCAAAGCAGTGCTGGGGTCACAGGTGAGCAGGACCTTGGAGGCTCTGGGGCCAGCAGGAGATGCTTCTGAACTGTAAGGTGCACCTGTGCATTCTCCAAGTACCAGCAGCAACATCAGGGTGTTAGAGGTTTGGGGTCTACAGGCATGTCTGGGGATCAGACTAGGCTAATGGTCAGCATAGCAGGGTTTGGGCTAACAGCAAGGCACTGATACAGGGCTGGGCACTCAGTCAAGTGAGGATCCAGGAGATGGGGCTGGATAGGAGAGGCCAAAAGCTGATACCAGCACCAAAATCCGCTCTTGGCGCTCCTTTGGGAGACCAGCTCTCCGGATCCCAAACGCAGTTCACTCCTGTCTCTTGATACTGTTGGCTACCAGTAACAGAAAATCCAGTTCAAATGGGGCTAAAGAATGAAGGGACTTTATTGGCTCATGTGATCACATTGCATCTGCCAGCTGCATCTGTGGGTTAGCAACCTGAGCCTTACATCCATATGAGGAGAAACCATTCCATCTTGTGTCTCTATCTTAAGAGCAAAGCATCTTTTCCCAGAAGCCTTGGGCAGCCTTTTTCTTACATCCCTGTGCCTGGCGTGGAGACCTACACAGTAGATGCTCAATAAATGTGGAAATGAATGAATGAAGTGCCTCCTTTCAAACACGCATTAACTCACATAATCTCGTTTGATTCGTACAACAATCCTGTGGTTACTGGCAGGGCCTATATGCCATCACCGTCACGCCATTGTCCAGAGGAGGCTGAGCCACGTGTAGTGACTAATCAGAAGACGAGACAGTCACCTGACATCTTTTTCATTCTAAGTCCGAGGCTTTTCCTGGCATAACATTGGGACGGATATGTCTGGGCTGGGAGTGGCAAGAAGGGAGCAACAGAAATGTCCAGAGAGGGAACAAAAATGGCCGGAATGAGTGAAGCAGAGTAACGGTATGTACCGTTCCACTTCCAGAACCCTTCGTTACCGCCTCACGTTAGCATCATCTAGCTCTCGAGCTAAGAGTAACACATGAAGAGCCCACAGTTACCCAAATTGGGATATATGAGTTACATTCTTTGGTTTCCTGAAATTTTTTTTCCAGAAAGTTTGATACAAATTTCTCGAAACCATTGTTAAAGTCTATTATGTGATGAAATACAAAGGAGACCAAAGAAATAACTGATAACCAGTAACAGTGCTTGGATCCTGATTGGATCTTTGTTCAAAAAACAGTGGACTAACTGGGAAAATTGGGGTATGATTAAATGTGAACTTACTGTTCATCTTATTCAGTGTAATGGTGGGATTGCAATTGCATGGAAGAATGTTCTTAGGAAATGTGAACTAAAGTATTTACAGGTGAATTATCGACGTCTGCAACTTATTTTCAAATGGTTCAACAATTTGATATGGCTCAGCACATGTATGTATAAATAAAGACCAAATGTGGCAAGAAGTTAACAATTGTTAGCTCTAAGCAGAAGTCATATGGGTGTTCATTGTCGTTTTCTGTATTTTGAAACTTTTCACTAAGTTCAGGGGGAAATTCTTAGATTTTCTATGTAAACCATTACTTTTAAATGTGCTG